GAGTTTCAACGTCACGGTCACGGAACACTCCACCTGCCGGACTGGCTGCACCCAATGGCATTGGAAACGCTTCTTTGTATTCATGTAGGGACACCCTCGCAGGATGGCACGAAACACGAGTGCCAGTGGCGCAATGATGAACGCCATGGACCAGGGTGCGACTGCTTCGTGACCTCGTGCGGGATGCAAAGCATGCCTCCGGATTGCGATGTCAGGAAAGAGCACTGGGCAGATGGCACCGTCTTCCGTGGACACTATGCTAGAGCCCCAGCCGTGCTCTCTTGGGGCGAGGTAGCGGCGAAGACTTCAGCAAGAGGTCCACGGGCTGCGTCACGGCCAGGGGGTCATGACATGGCCTGAGGGATCCAGGCAGGATCTTGGCAGTCGCAAAAGCCCTTCCCTTTTGGTTGGATTCAGCTTCTTGGGAGGTACACAGGGATGTTCGAGCGAGGTCGCGCAAATGGTGATGGAGAGCTGGTGCGCTGGGGACTCCAGATGTCAAATGTGTGCAGAGTGCAGAGAATCCATCGCCACATGAGAGTCCCTGAGTAGCACCAATCTAGTACCCCATACCATCATTATGGGCAGGAGACCACCCAAATTATCACCCTGCAAAATTGAGAATTTGGGGGATTGGGCTTTCAGTTTCGTATTGTTCCTGGGTTGCTTACGCGGGCCATGAAGAAGATGCACGTTCCCTGTATCCTGGTTCCGACGAGCTGACGAATGTCGCTGAGGCACGGACAATTCGGTCTACCGAGGTCAGTTTAAGGAGGACTGGGTCAGCCAGGCCTTCATTGCACCATATGGGACAAAATCGTGGTCTCCATTTAATTTGGGGGGCCCCTGACGTTACGGAGGATGTGACGGTTCTTTATTAATATTCTGATATGAAAGAGTGGCTGCCAGTCCCCCAAGTCTTGGGCTGTGTCTCATGAAGTGGGAATTTCTGCAGTGACCCTCAGATCATCCCCAAGGCGAACGTCTTTTCCGAGCCCGTTGCAATCACTACATCCCCGAGGGCAAGCGTTCCAGAAATCCCCAGGCGCTGAACCCAAGGCCTGAACACCCCGATCCAAAACCCTCTAATCCTATAAGTTCTAAACGCCTCACTAAGAAATATACTAGACTTCGTGAGAATCAGATACTGTGAGAATCCGCCAAGTCTTGAAGGACTGCATGAGCGGAGACGGTTGCATGCAGTGGGTCGACGGAGTTGAGTGCGCCCAAGCAAGATGCCGAAGTAGAAAGGTTTGGAGTTGAGAGTAACAGCTTTTTTGGTAAAGTATTGAATTAGGCTTCCTGAGTAGCTTGTCTGAAGGGGTTTTCTGGGTCTAGCGTTGCGAACGGTCCCACACCGGAAATCTGTGAAACTCGTCCGCAGATACTCCTGCAATGGGTGTACTATTTTCTCTCATGCCCAATCTGCCGGATGTCATGAGAAGCCCACGCGGCCGGCTGTGGCAGGTACAAGGGTCAGTTTGCATCCAACCGCCGGCACGGCTTCGGCAAAATGGTGCCTGGTGCTGTTTGACATGTCTGGACGTCAAGATTCCCATTGTAGTTGCCCAACCGCAGCGCATCCCATGTCAGTATGCCCTTTAGACCCTCTTTTTGCAGAATGCTAGGTTGCAATCATTACCTGTGATGCATGGTACGCGTCTTGTGGCAGGTCTGGACAGCAGGCAAATGGAGGAGCTATGAAGGTACCTGGAAGGCGCATGGTCATGATGCTTGCCATATCTTGCCATCATTGCTCACTCTAACTCCTTAGCAGCAACGGCTTCACGAGAAGCATTTCATCTTGAGTGGTCTTCTCTCATTCTTGCTCTTGCGCCAGTACGGTCAGATTCATGCGCTAGATGCTCTATCAAGATCAGCTTCATTGTGGGACCTTCTTCTTCATCGCTGGATCTTGCCTCGACGATGCAATGTAAGGTTACAGCCAGCTGCACGACTACAAAGCGTGTGAGGCAATATGAGGTAAAAAAGATCTGGACGACTACGTCCTAGCTGTTCAGCACCCAAGTTTGTGCCTTGACAAAATCAATGACGCAAAAGAGCACAGGGACATGAATTTGGCAGAGGCCGGCGCGCAGCACGGCCGTGGAATGCTCACGGATCAGAACGATGTTGTTGGACCCTGAGATTGGATCAGTGAAGGTTAGGCTTCTGCATCTTTCTGTAGTGCATCCACTCTCCCTTGCAAAAGGCAAGACCCAAGTCCAAACTCATGTCGGCACCTCTGCTGACTTTGATCAGCGTTCCTTTGAAGGATGCTAGACTCCTAGACATGACCCCTTGTTGGGATGCGAACGTTACTTGTCATTGGCATGCATCCCTCTCCCAGGCATACGTCGGCCACTTCGTCGACGGCAAGATCGAGCACTGGGAAGGAACCCCTCCTGATGCAGGCCCTTTGTCTCAATGGTATAGTCCCCCTGTAACCCCCGGCCTTTCTTGATTGTAATCCCAAGGCCCAGGTAAAAGCACGGTTTCGGCAAGTTGCAGGCGGATTATGAGCGGTCCCTACTGGGAAATCCCCAGACAGGCACATACCTTAGATGGTCCCTCCACCCACGAGTAGTGGGAGGGGGATCGTCCTAAACGGAAAGCCCAACCTTTGGATCCTAAACCCCTAAACCCTTAAACCGCTAAACCTCTACACCCTTAAACCCCTAAACCCTCAAACCCTTAAACCCCTAAACCCTCAAACCCTTAAACCTCTAAACACCTAAACTCTTAATCCCTAAGCCCCAAGGTTTGAACCCCAAATTCAAACCCTAAAATCCTACGCTTTCGCGAGGCCTTGGAGATGCATGAGTAGCTTCGTTCCTGTACAGAATCTCTTTGCTCTGGTCGGTTCAGGATTTTGGTTGAGGATTTAGGGTATAGGATTTAGGGTTTAGGGGTAGGGTCTAGGGCTTAGGGTTTAGGGTTTACTACCTAGACCCCCAATGGCCCATTATTTTACTTACTTTCGGGGTCCAGATAGGGTTTAGGGTCTAGGGCTCAGGGTTTAGGATTTAGGGGTTTACGGGTTTAGAGCTTGGGGTTTAGGATTTAGGGTTTAGAGTTGACGCCGCCTCTTCTCCCCCCACAATTTTAAGCACTCCCACATTGGTATACTATAATATCTGGGACTCCATGGAGTAGTACTTTTAATCAGGGGTGAGATCATGTAGTGGTTGTAGTTGTAGTATTTTCCGTTGCGTTCAACCAAGTTAGTTCGGCAGAGGGTAGCTTGAACTTGCGCGGGTGCCTGACCCCACTGCGGGCAAAAACTGCCAGCTATTGGGGCTGTGCCTCGTGTTTGAGTGCCCATCATGCCTGCTTGGCAAATAACTTGCAAAACAACGCTGAAGCCCTGTAGTGCATGAGACATGAACCGACTAGTCTTTTCGCAGACATGCATTCAGCAAACTTCCGAAGACTGGCCACAGCACCAAGACTGCCAATTGCAAGGCGCAAGAACTGCGCTGTAAGTTCATCGCTTTGCCTCACAGTATAGACATATAGATATAGATCATTAACAAGGTCATAGCACAATCTCGGTGTATTCGCGTGTGATTGCTTATGCGCCCATCAACAAACCACATCTGCTGTCAGACCAACTGCCAAAGGCACCACAGCGAACACATGGGTCAGGGTAGACAGAGCTCATGTCGCTGAGCCTGGCCCAGTCAGCGACCTAGGCTTTGGCACAAGACATTGTTGGGCCTTCAGAAGATTGGAGGCCAACTGAGAGTGGATCCCTTTCACAAGAAATGCGTACACTTGTCATCCCCGATTAGTCTGATCATTTGCATGTGTTATGGTCCTGACGATTTTTGATAGTTATGTTACTTCCCCCCACTACCCCGCAGCGCCGCCGCCAAACGCCCGCAGCAGCCGCGGCAGCTGCAGCGGCAGCAGCAGCAGCGGGAAGTTATCACAAGAGGGGTATATGGAAACCCTGGGGTTTCTATATAGATAAGGAGAATAACGCCGGGGTCCCGGGCAAAAAAGTCATGTTTAAGAAGCTTCCATAAAGTAGTTTCCCAAAATAGGAGGACCCCAATATAGACCCGAGAAGAACATTGATTCACCAAAAGGGTACCCCTAATTTCAGGAAAGCCCCATATCATGGTTTGCTTGTGGGATCCCAGGCTCGCCAATTTGCCGCGTGGGCAACTTGAAGCCCGAGGACGGAGACTCTGCAGCTGTGCCGGCGTGGGGGTTGGGAGGATAGTTGAACTATAGTCTAAACTCCTTAAAGGGGATTTATATAGGGGGTAAAATAGGGAGTAATATAGGGGTTATTAAGGGGATACTAGGAGTTTAGACTATAGCTCAGGTGGCTTTGGGCTTCGTAACAAGGCATCTTGGGAGCAGAGGGTCAAATTCAAAACTTGCAGGGAGCAAGGAGGGGCTTTGCAAGATGGCAGGTGCCTTGTCGCAATGCGCTGCTATTGGAATCCGTGTGAGCTACTGTCAATATTAATTAGCCTGATACCGAAGGCCCATTGAGGGTGGGCATGGGGGTCCCTTTGGTAGTTTGGTATAGTCGCTAACATAGTCCCGAACAAGGAATCCATGTCCGTTGAATTATGTACAGGAAAGATTGGCCTCTAATCTTCGGAGACAATTGGCGGCCTCGACTTTTGGAGTATGAGGCTTTGTTATGCGGATCATATGGTACTTTCCCAAAATAAGGGGACCCCAATATAGACCCCAAAATACTACAATCCTTATTATTGGGACCTCTAGAAAGGTACCCCTAATTTTGGGAAACCCCCATATAGGCTCTCAATCATGATCAGCAGCAACAGCATCATCATCATCATCATCCTCATCCTGTGCGTCCATGCGTGCTCCGCAGCGTTGAGCTTAAATGAAGGCAGCCAAGGCAGGGACTACAACAAAATCAGCAATAAGCACTGGGGATGGCAGACTGTGTTCTGCAGAGCTGCAGATTGCAGGATTTGGTTCAGAAGTGCACCTGCTAGCGGAAGTGTGCCATGGCCATAAAGGTTAACAGCGATGGCCAATCGCCGCTTCCTGCCAACGTCTTCAGCTTCGGCAAGCACAAGGGCCGTAGCTTCCTAGATGTCGCAAATAATGAGGCGAGCTACTGCAACTGGGCCCTGAACCAGGAAAACCCATCCGGCCAATTGAGGGACTTCGCCATGTATCTCCAGAAGATGGGCAGGCGGCCTGCCGCAAAGGCACCAGCAAGCAACAAGGCAGCACAGGCGCCGCGAGCCTTAGCCACGCCCCAGAATGCACAGCTGGGTCCACAGATGTTGCTGGTCTGCGAGCTGGTACAAGAAGATCGCTTCCTGGTTCGCCCAGAGAGGATTGGCAGCAAGGACAGGGTTCTTTAGTTTTTCTGTGGAGAAGAAAAGGTATCTCTCGATTTCTTGGGGCTGCTGATTCTTTCGCCCTACACGGGCCTCTCGCGGTGCAAGGAGACAGCCTTTGTGCCACCACATGTCTGGCATGCGCTCGGCAAGTTGGACGGAGCGTCCTTGGCGGTAGACAAGAAGTCCTGGGTGTTTCCCTTACAGCAACTCGGCTGACAGACTCGAAGCACTTCGGAGTTTTGAGCGGCTTCCCTCTTTGGCATGCTCTAGATTGTAGGGACGGGTTGGAGCTTGAACATCCAAGAGTGCTGTAGTCAGAGAAGGGGAAGTCTCAGCATTGCTATTTCCTTCACCTGGTCGTGAAAGTGAGGGCTATCTTGCGCTGCGGGGTTTTTGAGGGCTCTGCATTGTGGACAAACTCCTCATGAACTTAACTCCTAAAAGTTGATATCTTGACCCTAAGTCCTCTTTCGGGAAGAAATCCACCTCGACCTCGTAGATCCCAAACTCTACATATTGAACCCCAAGCCCAAAGCTTCAAACATGAGGAAATACAAGGCCGTCGTGGCTGGCCTAGAAGAGATTGGCCAGGTCGTGGGAGTTTCTGGCAAAGTTATCCCGATACAAACCTGAAGGGGGACCCCCTGATGTAGGGGCCAAAATAGGTACCAACAGTGTTGTCCTAGATTCCTTGTATATTTGAAAAATAAGGTGCCTCAAACAGACCTCAATAGGATATCGGTAACTATGCAGGCCCTCACAGTCTATCAACAACAACTCTTACCTATCCTCATAGGATCTTATAGGCTACCTAAAGCTATCCCATCTTGAGACCCTCAACCCCCGGACGCTAAACCCTCTAATCCCGGATCCCCCCCATTCTGAAAACCCAGAGCCCACAGGTGGACCAGATACCCAGCTGGGTCTTGAAGCTTGGATCACTGTTGAGGTAAACAATCTTAGGGGCCATGGCCACATATAGGGTTTTGGGCTGATTTAGGAATTGGGGTTGGGAATCCAACTTCAGAGACCTCAGGAGTATATGGGGAGCATGAGGGGGTTATGGGGCGTTCCCGCTAGGTCCAGTGCTATCTTTAGAAGCACTTTAAACCTTGGTGTTTGTAGGTTGAGTCCTTCCCACGTGAGCTATAGTCTAAACTCCTTCTGTAGAGGAGTATATAGGGGACTACTACGGGCAATATTAAGAGGGATAGGAGTATAGACTATAGCTTCTATGAGCTACTGTCAAGATTAGCCGTATCAAAAGGCCCTTCAAAGTGGACATACGGGTCCCTCTTGTTTAGTATAAGAAACCCATGACAATTCATTATCTGGGTAATATTGACTGCAGCTCATATACATCCAGTGCTAACTCATTTTAACTTTTAAAAAAGCTCCTGTAATCTTCGCAGTGGAAAAATCCAAAGCCCTTGACGCCTTCAACCCTTTGCTCGGCTACCTCTGTGCCCCGTGAGCCACACATGTTTACTGAATATGGGAATATATAATCGATATATATATATATTTATATATGTGTGTGTATGCTCCCTTCATATTTATAATGTATTCCCTTATTCCCTACTAACAACCAGTAAGGATAGGAGCCCATGATGTGAGAATTTCTCAACATAATACCTGCATCATCTCGAAGCGGGAACTGCACAATCCCCACATGAGCGGCGGCATAAACCACTATGAAGGAGTTGTATTAGAGGGTTCTCATATCGATGGTGGATGTTGCAAAAACTGGTGCGCGCGTCAGTGCGCGTCAGCATTTTGAAGGCACATTGTCCGCGATAGCTCGCGATCTAGGAAACAGTTTGCAAATCTTGGCTGTTTGTACGAGCCAACTCCCAGGAACCTGCTTGAGAAGGCCAAGCGCATAAATGGCAATGAAATTCAGGAGGCCCGCTTACCACCGCGGCTCCTGGAGTACCAGGTGGCTTGTTAAAATGTTCAGGGCGGGTTTACAGGCTTCAGATTTAGGAGTATCACCTGCACATCCCACCAGTCCTCCAATGCTTTTCCAAATTCTCCATAAAAAGAGCCCACAGAAGATTATGATGCTGCTTTGGGTGAAGTGAGGGCTTCCAAAGGTTGAAGAAATTCTCAGCTTGACTCAACAGGACTTGCAACCCTTGCTCATAGACAAAGCTTCAAAGTCATGTGACCATCCACTTTGCCACTGGTCGGGTGAGGCCTGGCTTTTTAAAGCGTAGTAATAATGCTGGCATGTTCCCAGCACAGTGAACCCAAGCGGTTTTCTCCCGCCGCTGTGGTTCAAAACCTTAGGCTTAGAGTTGGAGGCTATACAAAGCTATGTGCCATCTTAACAAGCCCTATTTGTGATTGGGAGATTAGTGCTTCCAGTATAATTGCTTAGGGTTTAACTTGAGGAGGTATAGTACCGAGACTTCAGGGGTAAATGCTGAACTCTAAACCCCCAACCCTGGACCCAAAGAGCAACCATACACCCAAGAAAGCTAAACTCTAAGCTCAACTCTCAACCCTAAAGACACTAAGCCCTAGGCATGATAACCTGAACCCCAAACTCCAGGAGATCTCTTAACCTTATTTGGTAGTTTCCCCAAATAGGGAGACGCCAGTATAGACCCCAAAATATTGTAGTCCTTATTATAGGGAGCCCCAGAATGGTACCCCCAAGTATGGGAAACTCCCATTTTGAACACTACAAACCAACCCTAAGGTTGAGGGCGTCAACTTCGCCATGCAGAAAGGCGGGCGGGTCCTCATTGCGGATGAGATGGGCCTTGGGAAGACGTTGCAGGCCCTCGGTGGCCCATAGGGTTTCGGGCATATGGCATGCTTCAAGGATCGCAGGACTTAGCAACTACTCAGAACTGGGCGTGGTTCCCTGCCTCCCAACCCCAAGGCGGATTTATGCAGGCAACTCCAATGATAAGTAGGGCTCCACGCCCAGTTAAAAGTAGTTGGCCCACAGTGCATATTCGCTCTTCAGCCTGTGTACGCCGCAATTTCGGCTGTCCAACGCGTCCATGCAGCCGGCATCATCGTTCCGCTCGTGCTCCAAGAGCATACGATCACCAGAGCATCCATGCTCAAACTGTAACAAACTTTCATGTTTCGAGAGCATACGGCTACCAGTGCATCCATGCCCAAACTATGATATCGTTCGTGTTTCGAGAGCATACCATTTACTTGTGCTGCATCCATACCCAAACCATAATAACGTTCGTGCCTCGAGAGCATACGGTTACCAGTGCATCCATGCCCAAACGGGAATAACGTTTGTGTTTCGAAAGCATACGCTTGCCAGTGCATCCATGCCCAAACCATAATAACGTTCGTGTTTCGAGAGCATAAGGTCACCAGTCCATCCATGCGCAAACCACAATAACGTTCGTGTTTCGAAAGCATACGCTTGCCAGTGCATCCATGCCCAAACACCATAATAACGTCCGTGCTTCGAGAGCATGCGCTTACCAGTCCATCCATGCCCAAACCATAATAATGTTCCTGTTTCGGGGACATACGGTTACCAGCGCATCCATGCCCAAACCATAATAACGTTCGTGTTTCCAGAGCATACGCTTACCCGTGCATCCATGCCCAAACCACAATAACGTTCGTGCTTCGAGAGCATATGCCTACCAGTGCATCCATGCTCAAACCATAATAACGTTCGTGCTTCCAGAGCATAAGGTTACCAGCGCATCCATGCCCAAACCATAATAGCACAGGTGTTTCGAGAGCATACGCCTACCAGTGCATCCATGCCCAAACCAGAACAGCGTTGTTGCTTCGAGAGCTTATGGTTACCAGTACCAGCGCATCCATGCCTAAACGGGAATAACGTTCGCGTTTCGAGAGCATAAGGTCACCAGTCCATCCATGCGCAAACCACAATAACGTTCGTGTTTCGAAAGCATACGCTTGCCAGTGCATCCATGCCCAAACACCATAATAACGTCCGTGCTTCGAGAGCATGCGCTTACCAGTCCATCCATGCCCAAACCATAATAATGTTCCTGTTTCGGGGACATACGGTTACCAGCGCATCCATGCCCAAACCATAATACTAGCGCATCCATGCCCAAGCCATAATAAAGTTGGTGCTTCGAGAGCATGCGGTTACCAGCGCATCCACGCCCAAACCACAATAACCTTCGTGTCAATTACTCACTGCACTTGAGAGCCTGCTCTACAAAACAACAGCTTCTTGCGCGCCTTGTTCATGTGAGAACTTAGAGCACGATGCTGGTTTCCGCGTTAGTTTCGGGGACCCCCAACATGGGACTCTAGCCTGTAATTTACAGTAGGAAGGCCCTTTTCTGCATGGAAAACGCGTTAGAAACCGCACATTTCCAAGCACGGACACGAAGCGCTGTAAATTCCCACACGAACCGCTGGTCCGGCCAACTTCTGCCCTTGTGCAAGTCCTTGAAAACACAGGGCAGAATACGCACCGTAGTCCCAGTTACTATGCCCCAGGAACCTTCAAGTGTGGTTTTGGGGTGGGATTGGGGGCTCATAGCGGTTGCGTTCTGACCAGGGGTCATAGGAATGAAAATTCGGGAAAGGGATGAAGTTACAACTAGACTCACAGTTATTGGTGATGAAGATTTGGGGCCTTCTTTTGAAGTTGCAATCCCAACCCCCAAGACCCGCCAAGTGAGCCGAGCTATAGCCTAAGCTCCTGTCCCCTGCAATAGTCCCCTATACAATCAATCCCCTATATAAGCCTTTTTCAGGAGTTCAGACTATAGCTCAACTACTACACCCCAAAAGGCGCTAGCTTTGGCCGCGCAGTACCGGGAAAATTGGCCCGTCCTGGTGGTTTGCCCTTCTTCTTTGCGTTGGCTTTGGAACCTGGGCTAGTGATTTGAGGATTCTGGTATACAGTATAGGGGCCTAAAGAAGGTAAAAGGGTTTTTAGGTTTTCAGAAAAAGGCTTCGAGATCTTGGGGTTAAGGTGTTTCGGGTTCGGGGTTTGAGGTTTGGTGTTTCAGGGGCTTCGCGGTTTGGGGTTGAGGGGTTTGGGGATTCAGGGGTCTAGGGTCTGGGGCTTTTGGGGTTCAGGTGTTCAGGGGGCTGACAGATTTAGATGCCTAAAAGGCCTTACTACAGATCGAAACTGTAAAACACCAAGCCCTAAACTACCGCGTCTCACCCACAGCCATGGGGGAGGGAAGCAGGGATCCCTACTACAATCCCTATATAGCCCCAAATAATCCCTATGCATTTCCTAGTTCCCATTTCATTTTCCATTTCTTTTCCATTTGATTTTCCATTATTGGGGTATTATCCCTATATACCCCTTTAAAGGGGCCTAGGGTTTCCATTTAATTTTCCATTTTCTTTTCCATTTGATTTTCCATTATTGGGGGTGGCACTGCAGCACCAATCAAATCCAGGAAGGAGCAGGCCTTGGAATGGCTTGGCGAGATCTTGCACCCCGATGACGTGCAGGTGATACGCAAAGGCTCAGAACCGTTAAGCGCAAAAAGAGACCTGGGTGGAATTGAGGACCGTTTGTGCAAGGTCTAACTTGGTATGATCCGTACACACGCCTTCGTAAGCATGGCCTTCCGTGGTCCAAAACTGCTTCCAGGCAAGATGTGGATCATCTCGTACAACATGCTGGCATCTGATGCGAACCGCGGCAAGTTTACTCAGCGCCCAGATGGAAGCTGGGCATTTGTTCAACAGCATGTGAGGGTTTCCCAAAATTAGGGGTACCTTTTTGGGTTGTCCCTATTGTTTAGTATTTTGGGGTCTATATTAGGGTCCCCCCATTAAGGGAAACTACCATGTACGGCTTGAGGTTGAGGGTTTGGGTTCAGGGATCTGGCAATGCTGGGACGGAGGATCCCCAATACATTGAAGTGTTTCATCATGTTCTTACGCCCTTCATTCTGCATTCTTCGGCTTCTGTCGAGTTTTTTCTTGGGGGGAGAGGTTTCTTGGATACAGGATCCGCCGTGGATCTACCAGAAAGTTTCCTCTCATGATCACAGGTCTGCCTGAGTCAAGAAATAGCCGCTATACAAAAGATTTGAGAATCTCATCGAACACAGAAGTACCCCTAAGCCTTAAACTCATTATCCTCGAGCAGGGTGGAAAGGGTCCGCGCAAAGAACAAAAAGCAGTAGCTCAGGACAGCCACATGGAGTTGTTATCGCCGACGAGAGCCACAACATCAAAGACTGGGGAGCAGCAAGAACCAAGACCATGGTGCCTCAGGTGTATCATGATTTAGGTGTTGGTGATTTACCCCGGGTCGTTTAGCCTTGGTGGAGTATAAGCAAGCGAACCTAGGGGGGGTAGTACAGGGGGGGGTAGAAGGTGAACCCATAAGCCTAGGTTAGAATTGCGCACTTGTGTAATGGGGAAACCTACTTGTGGATTCTATCTAACGGTAAAGCCAGAACCTGTTGCAAGTCCTGAACCTTTTGCAGCTCGAACTTTAAGAGGCTCCTAATGTGGGAGTTTCTCAAAATTGCCCTTGTAGAACCTCCCTAAAGGGATCCCCTTGATATTCTTCGGACATTCCTAGGGCCCCAAGGACCCAAAACACATTGGTTTTGAGAAATTCCATACCCTAAACCCTAAATCCTAAGCCCTAAACCCTATTTCGAGAATTTAGGTGCCAATGTTGAAGAACGCAGCTCGTGCGGTTTTACTCTCCGGTACGCCGACAAGGATGGAGTTGTTCAAACTTGTCCTAGGGAATCCTTCCTAGAGGACCCCCATTAATGTAGACCCGTGATTAGTACTCCATCTGAATTTTCATGCCTAAATATCAGGATCCCTATCATAATCCCTATTAAGGGGAGGGGGTTCATTAATCAGGGGACTGGGTTATCCCCTGTGAATCTCCATAGTATATGTACATATATACCTATATTTATACACGTATAAACATCTCTCTCTCTCTCGCTCTCTCTCTCTCTTTTCCTTAGCGGCCCTGAGGTAACCCTGTTTTGAGAAAGTGCCAGGAACTCCCCCGACGAGCTTCATCCGCAGCTGTGCGGCTTGCTACCGGAGGTCAGCAGGATGAACGACTTCCGGGCAAGATATTGCATCATGCAGCAGCAGTCGTTCCTAGGCGCTTGATCTGTTTTTGAGGGTTTCTACAAGACATGAGGACTTCAATGTTAGATTGTTATTGCCCAAGCCTAGTGCCAGACCCAAAGAGAGGTTCGGTGGGCGTCCCGTAAGCAGAGTTGTCGGGGCCCGCTGCGCCACAGAGCTGAATTTCCTCCTCACATCCACGGTCATGATTCGAAGGCACAAGACAGAGGCGGGGGGCACAGCAGAAAAAGGAGAAAAAGATGTTGCTTACAAGTTGTTGGGTCCTTCTATCCGATCTATGTGGAGGCGGGTTCAAGCGTGTCGTGCTGGGGAGAAGTGCTCAGGTGCTGTCGCAGCTACCGGCAAAGCGCAGACAGCGCGTACCACTGGACGCTGCTGCAGTGCAGTTGGAAAGGCTTTTGCTTCTGTTGCCAATCAAAATCTAAAGAAGTTGGCAGTGTGAGATATTTGCGAACGAGCGAGTTGTTGGAGAGGCGCCGATTGCTTGTCGTGCCAGCCCTTGCCAAACACGGTATACTGATCAATTTCCCAACTAGTTCACGTACGTATGCACATAGTCCTCTTTGCAAGCGACGCCAACATGGACTCATCAAGATGCAGGTGCATTGCCAGTGCGAATCTTGTTGGCGTTGCATATATTCCGATCCTGGGGTTCTCATTAAGGATCATTACACTCGTCGTGTACATGGCAGAAAACTTGAATCTGAATCATACATGTAGTCTCCTGCCGTCCTGAAACGGTCGAGGTTGATAGCAAGTTCCTGCGTGATGCTCCCTCGGAATTGGACCAGTTCCTGGGATCCGATGGACTTGCAAAGCCGGACACTGCCAACATATTCATGCAGATTGCGAAGGCCAAGCTCAAGGCTGTGAAAGAGTACCTGTCCGAAGTCCTGGAGAGGGTTGATGATAAGGTCATCATTTTCGCTCATCATAGGCTGGTGATGGACGAGATCTCAGAGCTTTTGCTCAAGCAGCTTCCCAAGATGGGCTACTCCTTCGTGAGAATCGATGGAGGAACAGCTCCGGCGAAGCGTCCAGAGCTGGTGAAGCAATTCCAAGAGCCTAGGTACCTCAGTAGTACCCTTTTCCCTTTTTTTTTGGTGTCTCCTCTTTAGAACTGAATATTAGGTTAAAGGGGTACCCTGAATTATCAAGAGGATACTGGGGAACCTAGGAGCAGGAAGATTGCCGGATAGCACTCCTGTCAATCACTGCCTGTGGCGAAGGCCTCACGCTGACGGCAGCCAGTTTGGTGATCTTTGCCGAGCTCCTCAGCCTTTCAGTAGGTCACCCTTAACATTTTTGGGTAGTATATTGGGGTCATATAACTAGGAATAATGGGGTTGTATAGGATTAATGGAAAAGACAATTATATCATTCGGTTATATAGGGGTATATACTGGGTCATCTAGAACCCAGATCAACATGCAGGTTAGTTAGCCTTGACAAAGCCCTAGATGCTGGACAACTAAGGCTTTACTGGGTCCCGGGTGCAGTCGAGCAGGCAGAAGCAAGAGCCCATCGACTGGGAAGCACCCACAGCAAGATTGTGGTGGAGTTCCTGGTGGGTGGTTGTCAAAATTATGGTTCCTTTGTGGATCCCTATTATAATATGGCACGCAATATTTAGTGGTACCCAAAAAGGGACCCATAATTTTGACAACCCCCCAGGTGGTGCCTAACTCCCCAGACGAGACCATTTATCGAAGCTTGGAACGAAAGAAGCAGGACACTTCCCACGTCCTTGATGGCTTCTAGGTACCCCAATAGTACCCTTTTCGCGTTTCCCATTCTTATTGTGGGGTCTCCTTGTTAAACTGACCATTGAGAAAAAGGGTAGCCTTATTATTAAAAAGGTTTCTGGGGAACCCTATGTAACCCCTACATTATCCCCATAACCCCCATATAACCCGTATGTTATCCCCATATAAACCCTATATAACCCCTATACTATCCCCAGAAAACCCTATATAACTTGCATAGGCATCAAAGAGTCCATGAATGTGGCGACTGCCCAGCACCTTCCAAAGAAGAGGGCAGTCGAAAGCTCAGCTTGTTCCAGCAACATGCATCTTTCCCAAGGGTTTAGGGTTTAGGGGTTATATAGGGATTATTATATAGGGGATTATTATATAGAGATTATATAGGGGTATGAAGGGATTATATATATATAGGTTATATAGGGATTGTACAGGGATATGAAAGGATAATTAATGGCAAAGACTATGGAAGCTACTATCGAAGGGTTCGGGATTAGGTTTTAGGGTTGGGGGATAGTCTGGTGCTTCAGGGAGCGGAGGGTGAGTGATGGTGGCTGCTGCGGTTGCAGCTCAGATCACGCTAGCAGTAGAATTAGACGCGCTGTTCTGGGACAAGTGCGACCTGAACCTCAGACACTAAATTCAGGGAGAAAACCTGGCAGCCTTGTGTTGGACCCTGCAAGCCTCCAGACATCTGGGATTTCAGAGTGCATGCAGACCGCCACCTAAGACGTAAACAGGGCTGACACTGAGGCCGGAGATGGCTCAGGAGCTGGAGAGAAGCGCTTCAAGGCACCACCACCGGGATCTGAGCCTCCTGTCGACCGCTCCAAGGCTTGGCCAGGGGGGGAGGGGGTGGGGGGTTGAGGACAAGGATCCCCCACATGTCATATCTCTGACTTATCTGCCTGTGCTTTCAAACTTCTCTTTGCATGGATGTATTTCCAAGCGTTTGCACGCAATACTGCGCGCAGGTAGATGTGTTACTCAAGGCCATCCGCGATGGTCGCAAGGGCCTTACTGGACACGTGGAGGACGGGCCAAACCAGGGCCCTCCTTTCTCTACCCCAAACTGGATCAATGTTAGGGATCCTTTCTACTTTTTGGAGGCACTCAGGCTCAAAACCTCCCAGACCGGTGTGCCCGGAACCAGTCCGGGTGCACTGGGCTAATTTGAGCCGTGAACTAGGGGGTATGCACCTGATTCCCCCAAAGGACTTTGCTAAGTTGTCTTCTTGGATTCGGGGAGTCAAGGTTTGGCGTAATGGACTTGGCCTTGAAGGTGTCAGAGTGTTGTACTTCGTTTACGAGGGTAATGGGTACATCCGGTTC